GAAGAGCAAAAGCTGCTGTTAGTTAGCCCTCTTTCCTCCCACCAGTGAAGTACCCCCAAAGTGAAAACAGAGTTTTGATTGTTGCAATTAAATGTGGGTACACAGCAAGATAGGAGCTGGGATTGTTAGAAATACAGGAATAGAAACGGGACCATATTAGGTAGAAGATATAGATAGATATATATCACAGTGTGTGTGTGTATTTGTGTGTGTATATATATGCATATATATGTGTATATATACACGTATGTGTATATATATTTTTTCCATGAGAGGGACTGAGTCATCTAATTTGTGGAAATGACAACTCCTACGGTCACAGATCTCATTACCAAGTCATGGCTAAGACATTTATGATTATAGTAGCAATTGTAGAAGATATGCACGGGAGAGGAGCAGTCAGCTGCAGATCTTTAACAGCAACTAGTGACGCAGTTACATGCAAATACAGTTAGGTGCAACCCCGCTGCTGGCCTGATTTGAAGGAGTAGATATAGCATGTACTCCATTCTCATAAGGCTTGCTGGGCTAGGTGCCCGTCCAGGCTGACCCCTGGGGCTTTTCAAACTGCAATTTCTGGTACAGCATGAGCTGCCTGGGGGTTGGCTGGAGGAGGCCCAGCCCCATGTTGCCCCTGCAGAAAACCACAGAGCCTACCAACCTGGCCACCACTTGGGAGGTTGTCTTGTGGCCTGTGAAACCAAGTTCTCTTGTGAATTTTGCTCTAGATAAGCTTGTGTATAAGCAAGCACAATCATTACATCAGGGATAATAAATGGTATGTCCATATTTATTTCTGTTAACATGTGGTATGGAGCATTGTTCGCAGATTACTGATGCCATCATGGAGTCTTGCAGGAGTAAGTACCAGGACTATGTGCATGTGTGGCTTTTAAAGTGTGACTGGGAGGGGAGAAACCCTCATCTGTCCTAGGTCAGTCTTGTGGTGAGTGCCTCCTAGCTCTAGTGTGGAATGACTTGTTGAACACCAGCCGTGCTGTCGCCTTGTTCATAACCTGAACGATAAGGCAGCTGCTCCCTTCCTTTCATCAGTGGAGCTGCCCATCTGTATGCATTCTCTAACTCCTTCGTGTTCTCCTGGGGCCTGGAGAACAACGGCACGCGCCATCAGGCTGCGAATGGAGCACGGCTTTATACAGTGGCAGAACTGGTAAATACTCCTGCTTTACTGCTTCCCCACTGGTCTGCCCTCAACAGCAAGCCGAGCTTCCAGACATGTCTCAGAAGCAATTTATTTCGTAATTCGACTTGTTAGCTACAAGTGCTCTCCAAGGTCATAGGTTTTAGCATTAAATAAAGCAATTGATTTATAATCTCGCAGATTGAGAATAGAGATAAGCAGCAGAGCAACCAGAACCCTTGAGGACATGTTTACTTTCTAGCAGCTCGTAATGGTATTTCCATAGGATACTGGCCATTAACTTTTTAAGAAAAAGAAAACAGTGGCTTGGGAACTGGAGACTTTTCTCTTCTCTTTTCCCTAGAACAAAACAATAGTTTCCTTTCAATCTAATTTTTGTAAGTAAATTCTGTTGCACATTTATGAGTCTCTTTCAAATATCCAAAAGCTTTTTTGTCCCCAAAAGATTCCTTATAAAAATTCAGCTAGTCTTTGCTGGTTAGAAATGTGGACTTTAAAAGTAGGTTAAAAAAATAAGTAATTAAATAAAGGCACAATTGTTAATTGTTTCTAATGTGCACATCTCTGAGGAGCAAGAACCACTTTTAGTCTAAAACTAAACACTAGGTGTTTGAACGATGTAGAATGCATCTTACCCGCAGTGCTTCCCTGATGTCTGACCTGTCTCTCATCTCTAGAGGCCGTTGCTTTGTGCAAGGACTAAGGTAGATTTATAGCACACAGCAACGGTTGCTGCTCCATCTGCACTCTGAGATGGTGAAAATATTAATTGTTGGTCCTGTATTAATTCCACCTCCAATAGTGGCACCAAAATACATTGCTCTTATTTTAGCAGGATGTTAACAGCCATTGCGCGTGTTTTATGTGTTGCTTTGGCTTGCTGGTGGCTCTGTGCCTCTCACCACAGGTGACGTGGATGCTGCTGTCTAGCTGGTTTATCTCTTGACTTGACAGCCTTTTCGACAAAAAGGATCAAGTATTTCCTACTGCTCTACTGCGTGTTATCGTTGTGCAAATGACTAATTGCTTTGAGGAAATGTATCTCCGCAAACCATAACCTTGTTGCTCTTCAGAGCTGGCCCTGTTTTGTCTTTTGACAAAATAAAACCAAGTTCTCTTGTGAATTTTGATCTGGATAAGCTTGTGTATAAGCAAGCACTTGCACTGACACAAAGACTTCAGCAGTGACAGGAAAAAAAATCGAGCTAGTTAAATGCAAAAAAGCCTTGCTTGGTACTGAATGTATTTAGAAGACTTGTAGGAAAAACCATGAAAATAACTGTTGCTGTGCAAGTGGGTTGTTTTGTCCCAATCGTGATTAGTCCGGGGGAAGGATAACTTTGCAAATATTAGGAATAGTCTTATGTGGTGAATAACCCTCCTCGAGTGGGTTGTTTTGTCCTAATCGTGATTAGTCCAGGGGGAAGGGTAACTTTGCAAATATTGGGAATAGTCTTATGTGGTGAATAACCCTCCTCATTAGCTATTTAGATTGTTCTTAATTTTCTAGTAAATTGCTTGCTAAAAGCCAACGGACAGAGGGTGGGAACACTTCTACTGGAGACCAGGGTGCAAGGGTGGGTTAGCCTTGCTGCGTGGGGTTTGCCTGCCTCTCTCTCAGCCAGTGAACATCTGTGCGGGTTTCTGCATCTGTTTTCTCCCTGCAGTGTCTTTGCTGCTGTTTGAAGGTCACAAGTCTGACAATCAATTTCATTGGTTGATGCTTTTTATTAATTTTTTTAATGACTTGTTAACTTTTATAGGCATATTGAAATAGTCATTTGTGTCTATGGTGTGCCTCTGATTAAAAAAAAAAATTGAATTAATGCTAGAGAAGCAAACCCACCCCAGGTGAGAGAGGTTCTATTTGGTTCTAATAACTTGGCTTTTTACCAAGCATTGTAATACTTTTTTTTTCTTAGCAGAAGGCTAAGGGTATAAATTGAATCCAAGTAGATGAATCGCTGCCATCAGTTTAGTTGCACTTTACCTGAATCCACAGGGCAGCGAGCAGGAGCTGAGACAGCGGTTCAATTAAGATTGTGGTACGAGTAAATCTATTGTATTGTTATAGAGGCTTTCGATTATAAAATTCTTCCACAGAATAGGGTGAACTGACAAGACAAGACAGCCCTGAATGGTGATTTTGTCCTGTTTGTGTAAAAAGTGATTAGACCTGGGCAGATCTGGAGTGGGGGGAGAGCAGTCTGGCAGCTTAGATGAATTCTTTCCCCCTCCTGTTTTGTTTAAATAGATGTATGCTTGCTTGTTTCATTCCCCAGCCATAAGCGTGTTCCTCTTCTTTGCCTTTTGGAGGCTTCCGGTTTTGCAGGCTTGACCTGACTGGCTCATTTCTCCTCGAGCAAGCAAGCAGTTGTGAGTGGGACCGTCTCCTGCCTCTGCTTTGGAGAAGCTTTAGATGCCCAAGTTAAGAAGCCAAGTTTCAAGCTGTTTCAGTGAATTATTTTATACCATCAAACTGCATATCAACAATCCTCTTTCTCCATGGCATTAAATTTATCTGGCTTGAAAGCATTTCAATGCCTTTGACTTCTCAGATATGTTGAGGGGTAGAAAACTGTAGCTGTTATAGCTATGGGGGCAGCCTAAAGAGCCCTCTCTCTTCTTGTAATTGGTTTAATGCTTTTTAATTGTAGAAAGCTACTTTAAACACCTCTACTCTCAGGATGTTTCAAGCTGCATCAATGTGAAATCCATGTAAACTCAGTTTTCTCTGCTGCCATTCAGAACTTGCTGCCTGCTTCTCAAATGCTCTGGCTTCTTGGAAGAAAAAAATGTGCCAGGGACAGCAGAAGTTGATTACTCAGTGGGAGAACCCCAAAAAAGACCTCATAGTAGTAGATGATTGTTTAGTCAAGAGACTTAAGAGCTGGTTAGTGATCACAGAAACCCAGAGACTGAGGGCAGATGCTGCCCACCCCAAAACCCTTCTGGCAGGAGTAGCCAGCTGATGTCTCGTTGAGACCGGTGCTCCTGAGAGGAGGTGGATGCATGTTTTCACCCACCCTGCCCTGACCGTAGGGATGTGTCTGCCTTTCTCTCGGATCTATTTCATGTGCAACCTCAGGCTTTTCTTATTTGCAGCTTCACTTTGTTATAAGGTGACTGCTTTTATTTCTAACTTCATTGATATCTATAACAAACTTGCCCTGGAGGTCAAGACAGAAGGTGCCTCAGCTTCCACAAACAGCCTCTAAGTGAAAGTCGTAACGTGCATGGTTTTTACAGTACTGGTGATACCCGTTTCAACCCTCTGTTGTTACTCAGGGAATTTAGAAGGTTTTTTCCCTGCAGCCGGTTTGTTCTGCGTTAACACTTCAAGTTCACTGAGCTGCTGTATACAGGAGCGGAGGGATGCAGTGATGCAAGTGAGAGAAATCAGTGGGCAGTCATCCTACAGTGCACTGATCGCACAGCTGAACGGTGGGCACGTTTCCAGGGTGAGCTGTCACCTTTGGTGTTTGGGTACCATGCGGCATGTAGATGGTTCAGCTGAACTGGAAAACCTGCAAAGCACCTGAACTAAGATCCTGGCTGTGGCAGGGAGATTGTGCTGCCACAGAAGGTCCATGTCAGTAAATGGAGATGTGGATGTGTTTGGAGGGCATTAGAAAATGATGCCTGGAAGAAAAAAACCTACGTTTTGTTGGCTTATGTGCCAGGCTTGACCAGGATGTTCTGAGTGGGGTATTTGCTCACTGCAGGTTGTGATTCTCAGCTCTGCCATACAGAGACGTTCAGGTGGTAAAATTCTCCTACTGGTAAGTAAGGACATGTGTGGTGTTGCACAGTTCTAACCTCTGCTTTTGTTTCTCAGTATCGAGTTCGACCGAGACTGTGACTACTTTGCCATCGCTGGGGTAACAAAGAAGATTAAAGTGTATGAGTATGGTACAGTCATTCAGGATGCGGTGGATATTCACTACCCTGAGAATGAAATGACCTGTAATTCCAAAATCAGGTAGGTGCTGACTTTGTATTTAAATCGCAGCTTTTTCCATTTGCTGGTTTGTGTGCAGTAGCTGTTCTGCTTCCTTTATCTGTTGTGGGAGTGGGAGAGGAAAGCAAAAAAGTAGGAGCTGCTGGAGAGCTTTCTTTGAACTCTGGGTGAGATTGGGTGGCACAAGCAGCGTTACTTGTGTGTGCTGGGCTCATCCACATATCTGGAGGCAAAAGAGACATGGAGTAGTGAACTGCTTTTGTGTTCCTTGCAAATGCTGTTTGATGCCCACTCAGTTAAAAGGAGAGTGAAAGTGAAGCAGTGGATATGCTCCAGGTCAAGTCTTAGCTTGTTAAAAGATAACTTCCGTGCCCAGTTCTTCGTAATAGCCACCGAGTCCTTGTTCTCTTCATCAGCCAAATCCTTCCCATTCTACTGAGAGGCCACCAGTCCTCAGGAAATGTGCCTCATTCACACCTTCTGCCTATGAGTTTGTCTGCCCGAAATACTCTTCTGCTGAGCCTCGTAATATCAACCTCTTGGGATAAGACCTTGCTTAACTTTTGCTTCGGTGCTGCTATCGTTACTGTCACCTTATTTTCATCTTGTTAGATTACTTAAACCAAAGAAGTATAGACCACCATGTTAGAAGTTCAATTGAAAGAATCCAGCTTACCTAACTTAAAAATCCTAATTCAAATATTCTGTTAAAGCTCAAAAGTAAATAACTCAGGCAATCAAAGCAATTCGGTATTATAATACAAGTCTCCAGCATTTCTGTTGAACTCATTTGTTTTTATTTGGTGCTCTACATTTCAAAAACAGTAAAGCACCTTACAGAAGTGTAAGTAATAAATTTATATAACGGTCCAGCTTCTGTGAATATAAAATGTTGTGCAACACGATTAATAATGTTTGCAAGCCTGCTTTATAGCATAAAAAGCACACTTGGTTTTGTATTTGACATGTTTCTTAAGATAGATCAGTCACTGTGTACCACTCACGCTGATTATTCTTGGGAATTGTGTAACGCTGCTTTACAAAGGGAAAGATGTAAACGCAGCTGGCCCTGGAACTGGCTTTCAAGATGGATGTAAGAACTCTGAGAGGGGAGCGTGCTGATAAGCCATGCTGATTATGGAGCTTATGTTTTTCTGGACTCGTGAGATGTTCAGCATTTTTCACTGAGTCATTGTGGAGTTCACAGCGTTCAGCTTCATTATTCTGGAGAGAAGAGCAGACTAACAGGAGAACCATCTAGCAGTCAGATAATGCCTTTTGCTTTAATTAGAAGGGGAGAAGCAACGTGCATTCGGTATTTCTCTGAGATGACTTCCACACTTGCTGCTTCAAATTTGACAGGAGTTTACCCTGGCGATGTTGCCAGGCATTAGGTAGTTGTTTGCTCTCCCTTCTCCAGCAGCTACTGGTGAGGAAAGCCGTGTTAGCACCTTCAGTGACGTTACTTTTGTCAGCTTTGTGCTCCAGACAAGTCACTGTTTGCATGCAAGGCTTTCTTCTCTTCCTCAAATTGCATGCATTTATACATTATATATAGATATACACGTGTGTGTGTATATATATGCGTGTGTATATATATATGACTGCTAAATGCATTGTCCTCTGACACCATATCTCAGCAGTGGGGGACAGGGTCCTCCTCTTTCATTCCCTTGCCCTGGTTTCTCTCATTTCTCTAAAGAAACGTCTTTTTTTCCTGTTGGCATCTCCACGTTGCATCAGCTTTCCTTCAGCATGTGGGTGCTCGTTTGGTTTTGACAAAGCGAGGCTGTCAGTCAGATGCATCCCTGCTACATCCATTAGCTGGGCTGCCAGTCACCCGTGCTGGGCCTTGCTGGCGCAGTCTCGAGCAGCAATAATAACTTGCTATTCTGAAGTGGCGTAGCTTGAGGGAGAAGTTATATACGAAGGCTGTAATTTCATTATGGAATATTGCAGTATGCTGAAAATGTGCCTGTGTTATAATAATAAAGAGAAATAAATCACAACAAGTGGAGCCTGCTTTTTGTGAAAAGCCTTGGCTTAAAGCTGTTGATCTTGATTTGGGTGGAGGTGCAGCTTCTCCCAGAGCCTTACTCTATTGCTTACTGCTCTTTCCGATATCGCAGACAGATGTGTTTCTGCTCTGGCCGAGCAGCTGGCTTGTGACACCAGCACAGCGCTCAACATCCCTTCCGTCCTCACGCGGCACCAGCGCTGTCTGTCAGCGGGTGCTCTGGCTTTCCAAAGACGTGTCATGGGACACTCACCCCGAATTGATCCTGGCTAACCTTGTTCGGAGTGGCGATGCTGGGACATTAATCGTTAGTGTTGCGTTGGTGACTCAGCAGCAGCTCTGATGGGCTTTTTTTTTTTTTAAAGAAAGTAGACAGATGACAGCGTTTGTGAGGACTCGTGCCTGGCCAAGAGCAAGTCTGCTGGCCCGGAGCAGCTGCGGGAAGGGAAGCCCTTGCCTGGGACGGGGCTGGCACCAGCCCAGCCCTGCTCTGCCATGTGCCAGCTGGGTGCCCGCTGAAAGGTTGAGCTTCGTGCCAGCAGTAATTGATTGGAGGCTTTTCTGGAGCAGAGCCCTGGTACCAGCTGTAGCTGAGTCTTTCTTCCACTTTTCCAACCCCCTCTGTTTTTTTTCACACCCACCTGCTTCTTAAATACATGCTTTTATTTTTTATTATTTTTTTTTTGCTTTTTCATAATCTGCTGAGCTTCCTCATCCCTATTTTTATGAACGGGGAGGAAGTCAGTGTATTGAGTTTCTATTAAATGTGCATCGTGTCCCCTGGGAATGACGGTGGCATAAGCTTTCAGGAAAAACACAAGATGACACATAAATCCTCATAAAAATCCCATTTACAGATTCATAGCTTCAGTACAAGAAACAAATCCTAGCATTGTGTAGTAGCTATAAACAGCACCCTGTGAGCTAATTATGACTTGCTCGGTCCCTGGCTATGGCAGACAATAAGCTGTGGCTCCCCCCCCGCCGAATAAGCTGTGGCTCCCGCCGTGCAGGAGAAGATGGAGAAAGGACAAGAAGAGGATGAACAACTCGCAGAGAGCCACAGCTCTTCTCTCGTTTATTCAAGAGGCAGATTTGTTGTTTTGCCATAGGTTGCAGGGAGGGAAAAATAAGGAGATCTAGGGTTCAAGTAAAAGAAATTGGCTTTAGGCCTTGTTAATCTACAATAGGTGATGTGCCAGTGCGGTTAGGTAAACATGCTTTTGAAATCCATATTTAGTATTCTGCATGCTCACCACTGTTTGTTTGTAGCATCTGTATTTCAGTGATAGATGTTACCACAAACCTCCAAAATCAGCTACATCTGTTTAGCCAACTGCAGTAAAAGCAAACCATCAGTAGGCTTTTTTTTAGGAGGCAGCTAGTATTTTATTGTTTTCATTTTTTGGTGTCAAATCAAATGTCATTGCTCTATCCTAATCGCAGTTCATGGGCACACTGCTGTCAGTTTATAAAATGACAGTTCTCACTGTTAAGTTTAAGCAAAAACTTGCCGTATGGTGTTTTTCATTGTAGAGTCTTTGCTATTTCAAGAGGTATGAGCTTTCTTTAAGCTGAAAAACCTCACGAGTTGGTTGTGTTGGATGCCCATACCTGCAATGTCGAAGACATTTGACACCAAACAGGTTATAAGGAAATAGACCTTCAGCTTTTCCTTAATTCCCGTTTTCAGAGTAACTGCTTCACTTTGCAGTAAGATAAAGATTTTTTTTAGAAGTATTTGTCTCTTAACCCTGCTAGGAGTTTTCTTTGCGTTGATTAGAAAAAGATGGTTTGGTTTGTTTTTTTTTTTTTTAAACATTCCTAATTGAAATGATTGATTAGAAAAAGATGGTTTGGTTTGTTTGTTTTTTTTTTTTAAACATTCCTAATTGAAATGTAATTCTATATGTCTCTGAAGTATTTGGTTAGCTTTGTTATTCACATGGATGTTTCTTGCAGTGAAAGAGCTCTCCCTTAAAAATATTTCAGTCCTGAAACTGCTGGGCATGGGTTTGACTCACAGTAATAGACTGGATGTGAAGCACTTGGCACTCAGAAGCGGGTCAGACCACAGCAGTTTGTGTCTTATTAAAAGCTTTAACTCCATTTAACTCTCACTGCCAGAGGGATGGTTGACACCGGGTAACTTGATCCCACATTTGAGACGTTTCAGCCATAAAAATACTGGCTCATGAAAGAAACATCAGCGTGACTGGCAGCACTGAGCTGGCCCACTTGTGTCTCCAAATAAAATGAAGGATGCACATGAATCTTTACAGGGTCAGTGTGTCTGTGTGTCTGGATCGGATGCCAAGGTTAGGAGAGTGTTTCAGAGGTTGGTGATTAGCTTTCAATTAGAATTTCTCCAGGCTTATCTCCTAGGAAGGAAAGCTATCACAACTTCTGGCAAGATAAACCTCTGGGGTGTAACTACTGCCCTGTTTCTGGATTAAAGAACAAAGCAAATCCTGAAAAAACACAGCGGTTAGTATTTAAAGTAAAAGATGGCCTTGCACAACTCCTTTTAACCTGGTGCTGAATTATACATTATTGTAGCCTTAGGTAGCTATTTTTTTTGTATCTCACAGCCTCCGCATTTCAATTTCTTCCTGGATGTGGCTGCAGGCCACATAAAGATTTACGAAAGGTTATTTTTATGAACTTTGGGGAGTTCGATGCTTAACCTGTCTGAGGACAGTGTAAGCTCTGATTCTGACCATCTCACCTTTGCCCTTTCCTTTCCTCATCTCCAACTTGCTTCCCCATGCGTTTTTGAGTCTGTTAGTCAATTTGTTACCCATGATAACATCTCAAGGGAACCCAAAAAAGTAGACATCTGAAGTTTTGCCAGAATTGCTTGTGTTGGGCATGGAATGAAGATCAGTGCTTCTTTTGAGGGGAGCATGGCAATAGCTTCTCAACCCTTTGTAAATCCTTTGGAGGCCACATGGAAGAGAGGTATTGTAGTGTTCCAGCTCCAGGACAGCTTCTTTCATGCATGTAACATCACAGATGCCAGAGAGTACAACCACAGGACAGTCAGCCCTTGGTAAAAAGCATCCTTGACCTGGAGAGGGAGCTCTTCTCCACAGGATCCAACCATGAGTTGTGCTCTACAAGTGTAGTTTTAAGAGTTTCAATTACAGAGAAGCCCAGGTATGGGAATGTTAATAAGAAAGCTCTAGTTTCAGACTTTGTCGAGAGAGTTGGGTAGTGGGGAGGGAAGAATGAAGGCAGAGAGCTGGAACAGGGTTGGTTTTGTCTGATTATGATCCTTTAATCATATTCCTTAAAAATGAAAGATTTATGGTGTGTGTGACTTAAAAGGTGTTAATTGAACCGCTTAATGGCTGCAAATCCCTAAACATTTTTCACTTGTCAGTTCCTGGTTTTTACTCTCAGTCTGTCTACAAATGCTTTTCAAGTAAGTGTTAACCCTTCATTAATACTGTCCTACTTCAGCAGGACACAAGGGTTACCTTGATCTTTGCTGTGCCAGGCCTAATGGGCATGCTTTGGGCACAGAAACTTTTCATTTTTCTCTTTCTATATTGACCGGTCTGACCAAAATACAACTTCTCATTACAAACCTTACACTTCATATGTCCTTAGATCTATCACATTTCAAACAGAGCTGTTAAACTCTGCTCTTTATATTTTTCTACCTACTCAATAATTTCTCGGGTTTTTTTGTCTGGAGTGCTTTCATTTTTTATAAGATAATTACATGATTGTCCTCTTTCATAGTTCAGCTTGCAACATTCGGCTTTCTTCTGCTGGTCTGATCTGGATCTCGCCCGTCCTTTAAGCAGCCAAGGTGGCACCAGCATGTCTGTCTTTTTTCTAGGACCCTCTCCACCTCCCGATGCTGCCTGACCTACTCTCAAACCCTTCCAGACAGAAGACTGCTTCTCTAGATCTGGCCAGGGGCTATATTCTTCCTGCTTTTGTGCGATGGCTAAACTTAAAGATTTTTTTTTTCCCTTAAGCTCCTTGAAGCCCTGACTTGCGTGGAGATAGGATGGCAGGGGGATCAAGTCTGAACCAGTAAATGCCTATCGCAGTGTCATCAGCTGGAAACTGCTCCCAGCCCAGAGCCTTGCTGTGTTTTAGCTTTAGGGCTCTGAACTGCTTCTGCTTCCATCAGTGACTGTTTGCCTGGACGTAAGACTCCAGATGTCAGATGTGGTTATCTCCGGACTCCTGCAAACTTCACCTCACAGTCCTGGTGGGCAGTGCCTGCCAGCTTCACTTGGTCCTCAGGGAGCCACTTAAGCCTCTCTGAATGAGGGTTCTAGTAAATCATAGACTGTCAAGACCTGCTTTTCTCTGTGGGTAGGTTAACGGTAGTTAAAGCTAGTGTAACCAGAGCTCCTTCGTGATACGTTTGTGGACAGTCCTTGTGCCTACAAGGGCTGAGGACACTAATATTTTTCTAATTAATGGAAGTGTTTTGCGAGAGACAAAACGAGGGAAAGCATTGCCTGAGCTGTGTCACCTCAGCCACTCTCTTCACAGCTGGTGGTTAAAGCTGATGACTTACGTTGTGTAAATAAAACTTTTTAGGTTTCTGAATGTGAAGTTTGAAAACCAAGGAATGTTGTTATAAGAAACAAATGTGCAAGTGTGTGATAGAGGTGCACACAGGGAGAAGTGTTTGACAGGTTGAAAGCGGTGTCGTCAAATGTTCCTCTGTACTGTCCGTTCCGGGGAGCTCCCAGTGATCCACTGGGAAGGGGTGTCCCAAAGGTGTTCTCCAAGCACTGTTTGGTGGTGCGAGAGGCTTGTAGAAAGCCACTGCTCTTGGGCAGCTGTCTTGTTTCTGTAAGTTACAGATTAACTTGTGCAGACAGAGGAGGTCTGAAGTGCAAGTCTTTTGGATCACTCAGTGAAGTTTCCTGCTCATACAAGCACCAACAACATGTTATTCCTCCCTTGTTTTTCTTCAAATTTTTCTTAAGAGCCAGTTTTGCTTCTTGCCTCCCATTGTTTGGCTACTCCGAACCTCACATAAGGTTGTTGATTCTACACAACTAAGTGATGGTGAGCTATGGTTAGTGGTTGGTATCCTCTTCTGTGTGTAAATTCCTAAGGAAAACAGGATGCAAGTGTATAGTGAAACGGAGGATTTGCTGAGGTATGATAGTCCTAGGTCAGTATCCATGTACCTACATTATATTTCACTGTGTAGCTGCGCTGAGCAAATCAGTATGAAAAAGTTAGATTCATGGACTTTGAGTTTATATTGTTGGTTAAAAATCGGCACGAAGTCTAGTGTAATCTAGTTAACCGTGTCAGAGCTGTCTGACCTGCACGAATTGGATCTGTCAGTTCAACTGCTGCCACTTGCATCGCAGTTGATACCAACTGGCATACTTTTCTGCCAGATGGCCCAAAAATTGGTGAACAAGTATTACAAATTTTCTTACCTCCGTCACATTTTTCTGGGAGTCAGAGTGGAGGCACTGTGCCAGAATGCTACAAGTATGAGTTGGCAGTGTCACTGCTCGTGTTTTGTCTGCTGGTGGTTAGAGTTTGTTGATGGAATTGTCGTTTAGTTTAACACAGCCAGTTTATTCAGTTTAAAATACAAACCCGTGCAATGTATTTTGCAGTTCTCCATCAGAAACATCTCTTAAACTGCCCGTAGCAAGCAAACTGCTGTTTTCTCCTGCACAGAAAGCAGGGAGTCTTTCAGCATTTACAGAGAGCTGGAAGGAGCTTCTCATAAGTCAAAGCTTCATTTGCACGTAGGTACACATATAGAACATTACACATGTACCAGAGGAGAGGTTGATTTATCATCCATGCAGCTGTGTCTTTTACATATGCAGCTTCTGTTAGGTGAGTAATTATCTTTGTGGTAGTAATAATAATAATAGTAGTAGTAGTAGTAGACGTTGGCAAGAGGCTAAGAACTCAAAACCTGAGCTCTTTGGGAGAATTTTTGTGGAATTCAAATAGCAAATGAATCACAATGTTAGAGATGAACACATTTAAAAAAAAAAAACAAAACAGAAAGGCCAAACCATAGCACTTCATATTGCGTAGGGCACTGTCTTTAAGCCAATAAATATTTGATTTTCCTTTGTGGAGGAAATTGCTGTATTTCTGGTGGGTTTTTGGTTTTGTCCGTTTCTGAGTGTTTCAGTGGGGTGACTTGATCAAATGGTGCGTGCTTTGCCAAGACACTAATTGCCTGGCATATCGCAAGAGCGATTTTTGTTACTGTTTTTTTGTATCGCAAGGTATGATTTAATATAAGACTGACGGGGGCTCTTTTACTTTTTAAGCTGTATCAGCTGGAGTAGTTACCACAAGAACCTGCTAGCCAGCAGCGACTATGAAGGCACCGTCATCCTCTGGGATGGATTCACGGGACAGAGATCCAAGGTCTACCAGGTAACATGCAATCAGTGAGCAACGCTTCCCCACACCATGGGACGGTGTCGAGGGAGCAGAATCCGGTGTGAGGTTCTCTCTCTAACACAGCTGTAGGGTTTTCCATTCCGCAGAGTGAAACGGATGCTCCTGCTGTTTGGTAAACGTCTCATCTGCACAGCTTTATTGAGCTGTGGTCCTCCGAGGGAGGCAGCTCTATCTTCTTGTCACAGCCATGAGGCAGTTGATGTTTTCTTGTTGCTGTTTTCAGGCAGGGAATCTGCACAGGGAGAAACCAGTTTCTGGAAGCTGTTTGTCTTACCTTTCTTAGAAACCTTTGTCTCTCCATCTCTGTTCCGCTTCAGTCTTTGTCAGAGGCCTTTTGTAAAATCCCGCAGTGACTGCTGCTGGTGGTGCTGCTAAAGCAGAAGAGCAAAATGCATGCAGTGAGCTGAGCGAGACCTGTTTCAGAAGTTTCTGGCACTTGTCTTTTCATGCATTTCGAACGTTGAGTTTCCATATAATGGATTCTGAGAGGCTGGCGATCAGATCACAGAGGTTGGAAGAGAGGATCTTTGGTTTGGCGAGAGGCTGGAAACACTGCAGGCTGTTGGGGGAGGTAGCTTAGTGCACTGAAACTGGTCAGTGGTAACGAATGAACTGCAGACTGGCCGTCAGTTCCCCCATCTTGACCCTTCAGCATAAGTTCTAACTCCTATTTAAGCCTTTACGTACTTTTCTATTGTGTTCTGGACATTTTATGATGCTTGTTTTCACTAGTCCTTTGCATATCTCAATTAAAAAGAAATTATACTTGACAAAATAAATCTTGTCTGTTTCCCTCTCAAATATACTTTACATTTATTTATGAGGCTGAATAATGAACCTAGAGAGGACCAGCTGTTGCTTATGTTAAAACAGACTCATTTTGCCTCCTATCAGTTTACTTGAATTTTTTATTTGGATTTGCATAGAGGCATGCATACTGACATCTGCTTCACATGCATTAGGAATCCTTTAGTGACTGGATTCTGGTGAGCTTTTCATGTCGTCATCTTGCAAGCCTGTGGGAAGGCTTTAAACAAAGGGTTTGACTGCATTTCAGGTTTCATTCAATGCGGTGTTTTTGCTTTCATGCAGGATGTGCCAGCATAGCAAATACTGCTCTTCTGTGTTTTGAGGAAAAGCAGGCAGTGTTGTAAGAATATTTGGGTGGAAAAACATAAGATTAGACACCAGTTTTGTTTAGTAGCTCAACAGGAAGGTGAGGATTTGCTGAACTTACAGAGAGGAGATGTTTTGAGATAGCTTTGAACGGGCAGTCTCACCAGTATTGGGAGATACAGGTGTGATCTACTAGGATATGAAGCAGCACATGATGGAGCTGTATAGCCAGTCAAACTATGTTGTAAAAACAGGTGTTTAATGTATACTTGCTGAAATCATTACTTTTTTTTATTTTTTCCAACTAAAAAACCCCCACTGCTAACACAGTAAGCTTCTCTGTTCAAGACTCTGCTGATAATTTCTACCAAACAGCATGCGTATTTTTTCTGTTACTGTTTCATCAGATTACAGTTCACTACCTTGCAGTATTTTTCTTGTTTTTCTAAACAGGAGCATGAGAAAAGGTGCTGGAGTGTTGACTTTAACTTGATGGACCCAAAGCTATTGGCTTCAGGCTCTGATGATGCCAAAGGTATAATTCTTTTTCAATCTCTGCACAGTAGGCTTATACTCTGTATTCCCTTTGAGGAACAAAAACGTGGTATTTTGAGTAGCTGATTCTGCAGCTACCTTCAGTATTGTAGTTGACATGGTGATGTGTAAAGATATTACTGAACTGTTTAGATCTTAGAAGGAAAGGATTTGTTTGGATTAAGGTTTCTTGGTGCAGTGTTCACGTTTTCTGGGTAATATACTCTCCAGCATTTTCTGAGACACTAAACAAAGCAAAATATGTTCTAATGCTAGTTAAGCTTGTTGAGTTAAAGCCTTGTGGCCTTTCAAAAGAACAGCGTGCGTTTGTATTTCAAAAATGAGGTTGTTGGGGGGGTGCAGGAGAAGGAAAAAGTTAACAGTGCCTGCTGCAGTTTTACTTGCAGCTCTGAATGTTACAGACTGTGAGCACCCCGAAGCTGCCTGCTGTCACCACGGGCACTGTCTCTCAGGGCTGAACAGATGGGGCTGGTGGACAAACCCTGTCCCAACACACTGGCGGAAAAATATTTCTCTCCTAACAAGAAATAGGATACTTCTAAAGAAAAGGATAGCACTGAAAGAAAAGGATAGCATGGAGCAATATATATATATGTAGTATTCTTTGTCCTTAATTAAGAAGCTTTTATCTGTAATATGTTTACAATATCAGATTAGAGTTATTAAGCAGCAAGAGCTTTAGAGTTTCTTTCACAGTCAGTGGGGATCAGCTCTCTCAGATAGGCTGATACAATTCAGGACAGAGCTTTATGGTTTGCTTTGAAATGATAAATTAATTTTTTATAAACATTAAACCTCACAAGCCACTCCCCCTCTGAAATGCTTTTAAATTCTGTTTCAAAAGAGAGCTGTATTAGTGTTCCTCAGTTGTGTTTGACAGTCCTAATGTAACTGGTGATTGCACTTGCAAAATGCAGCTTTAATGATTATTAAAGTAGGTTTTAAATCTATTTTACTTATTTACTCCCCACTCCTCCACTTCTTGGTGGAAGGCAAGAATGTTTTCTGTGTGCTTAAATGCAACCAGAGTGAACATTCACCTTGTAAATTATCAACCTCTTCATCACGTTGCTCCCCACCGCTGCTATGCATTTGAAAAGGCTTATCTGCCAGGTAGAGGTACATGTATTAGCATGTTAACAAGTTGTCCAGGTTTGCAAAGCCAGGTGCAGAGGGCCTGTCTCTAGTTTAACAGTTCTCTTCTTGGGTCATGGTCTCCACAAGTGTAGTGTTTGCTTAAAAGCATTGTAGTAGAGTCTGCAGATCTACGTAAGTTGCATTTCAATTCACAAAGGTGCCTTGAAGTTGTGTATCAGCATTTTGGCGAATAAAACTGGACTTGGAACATTTTGTTTACTTCTACCATGGTTTGCCTGTGACATGTGTGTGTGTAATGAGCCTGTTAAGAGGCAAAGGAGTCCTGTGTGGAAGTGTCTGAAATAAGCACAGACTTTAAAAGTCATTAAGGTACAGAGCAATGAACGTCCAAACTAAGGTGATAGTGTCCACCTGCCATTTTGGTGAACACAAGGGATGGGTTAAATGTGAGGAAAAGGTAAATGTCCTAACTCAAACCTGCCTAACTTAGATTTTTGTTCTGCTAATGTTTATCGGTGTAAGAGTTGGCCAGAACTCAGTCGATGTACCTACTAACACATGTTTGGCCAGGTGCAGTGTCTGGTGTGAAAGCCAAGTTTTATCTTTCTTTTCTGTCTTCTTTTCTGATTGTGTGAGGCCACACTGGGCTTTCTAACCAGAAATCTCAGTGTTGACAGATATTGGTATGACCAGAGCAATTGGAGCTAATCTCACTGCACTTCCTCAGAAAGCCCGAGTGTAACATTCTCCCATCAAATGATCAGGACAAGCCAGCAAAAAAGTGACAGCCTTGCCAGTTCTTCCTGCTTGCCTGTGTGTCTACCTGTCTCTTCAGGTTGGAAGCTAATTTTTAAAGCACTTGGTGTGCTCAGTAGGCATGTACAGGGGAAGGAGCTTTGCGGTGAAAAATCCTGTAATCAGTGCTTCACAGCTGTCTCTGCCAGGGCACAGGCACAGCAAAGGGGGTACTAATGAATGGAGTGCCATTAGGGATAAATGATGCTGATACACTTACAAACAGCATCCTTGGGCCTCAGGTCCTGCATTGTCCTTGTTCTTAGATGAAGATAATCCAGGGTGCTTATTTGTGGAAGATCTCTCTACTTTAACAGCAGATAATGAGAGCATTAAAGCATTACTGTATCTGAACTAAGTACTGTGTGTGTGAAAACCTCACTTTTATCTGCAGTCGTCCTGCCCTTCCCTTTTAAAGGAGCAAAGGTAGTTGTGTTTGTCTATAGAGACCCAAAGATGTACACCAGCTAGACAGCAATGAGCAAAATTAACGTGTTTACTTGTACTACAAGCACCTTGGGAAAAAAGTAGTCATAATTTCAGTTCTTTTATGCACATAACCATGGCAGGATCTATGATTCCTATGTAAGTGAGAAAGGGTGTGCTTTTTTTCCTATTTGAGTGGAAAGAAACCCACTGTCAAAGTACACAGATAGGGCTGGAGCTAGCGCACTTGTTAGCTACTGACTTAGAGCTGCTTTTCAACTCAGCATGCTTGCCTAGTCTGGATTGGGAACGTAGTTTAATGGCCACAGCAAGGTTAGCAGATTGAGCTAGAGCAAAATATTTTGTGTCGCCATGTGGGTAGAATTTCAGTCTCCGCTGTGGTATAGGTCTGTTCTGGAGTGATGAAGCATTTGCTCTCTGCTCTGGGGTTGTTTTTGAAGCTCAGGGGGTTACAAGGAGTACTGACAAATTCAAGTGAAGAAAGAGTCCTGGTTTTATGTCCTTTCTATAAGCTGCAGTCCTGTCACTATTCCTGGATCAAAGTGGAGGTGGAGCAGAACAGGAGCACCTGAGAGCTCTGAGCGGTAGCAAGAGGTTACCTTTCATCCTCTTATGGCAAGGAGCAATGCAAACATCTGTTTCCTTATGTACAAGGAAAGTAATTTCCATGCTGCCTTGGTATGTGAGACCATGGATGCTAATCTTACAGCTGCCTCCTTTTTTTTTTTTTTTTTTTTTTTTTTTTTTGTAGCATCCCTGAATTCAGTGGAGCCAAAGCAGTTTTGCAGGGTCAGCTACATAAAAAAAGCATCATGACCTTTTAGAGGGGGAGCTAACCTAAGAGCTGTAAATCACGGCTTGCTCCACAGCTTGGAGGGCTTCCAGAGGATCATCTGGCTCTTTATTTTCAGTGATACGTAGCTCCCCCAGTTCCTACTGACTTTAGCTGGAGGTATAGGTGTTCACCGCTCTTAAAATATCAGGTTGAACTTTCAGTTTGCTCATTTTCCTTGCTAAAAGAAGTTCAGTGAGTTCCTGGAGATTTGTGGGATTGTTGAATGTAGTTGGGAATACCTTTAAAGGTCAAGAAGATGTTGGTAGTTAAATACCAACCAAAGTATCTGTCTGACTGTGTCTTAGACACCGAGGAATACCCTGCGGTCACTGCCTGCTGATGGCCATCAGTTTACACTGTCTTCCTGATCCACACCAGGCAGTGGAGGAAAATATTTGCCTAGCAGGGCAGTTCAGCTACTTCCTCCTCTCCTAGGGAATCCCAAAATCTGTGCAAACAAGTTTCCTGGTAGCAGCATCCTGTTACCGGTTTACAGCTTTGTCAGAGTAAGAGCAGCTTCTCCATCCCACAACCAGATCAAGTGTTTCCCGAAACGACAGGCGGGATGCAGTACCCTTGCTGTCAGTGCACCAACTGTGTGCGTCCACACCCTCAGCTACTCCAGTACAGGCTTCTGCCTCCTTAGTCGGTGTTTAGACATGGAACCGATGCATAGAAAAATAATTTATAAACTTAAACATTTGGTGTAAAGATCAAACCAAATATAAATATCTTGAAAAGGCCTAAACATCTTAAACTTAAAAAGCTGATTTGGAGGCATCTTCTTACTTGCTTGGCGAGGGATAGACATTTGGCTGCATCAAGATATATCTCTTAGCAGCTGCAAAATTAGGAAACATATGCTTTGAGAACACGTGTTTTAGAAATAGTCAATCTCAGATGGTTGCTTGTCTCATCAACACAGTTCTAGGTGTTATCAAGACATCTGCATGTTGTATAATTACTGCCTCGACTGCAGCAAAATTGCTGAAAGCTATAGCAAGTAAACTCAACCCTTATGGATTATACTTTATTAACCTGTCAGTTCTCTTTAAGAAATAATGGACAGTTCAGGTAAAACTTGACATGTTTCATTACGTGTTGTTATATGTCGCATATATCGTTTTTTATGGCACTGACTAAGATATAATTGGAGCTCAGCATATCCTACAGCAGTGAGATCACAGAAATTTCAGACTCTAATCTGTGTCTGTCAGTTGTAACAAGTATTATGATGGCCTTGAATGCGCGGGATGGCTCCTCACTAAATTAAATGGCTCAGCCTATGACCCAAAAACTTCAATGAGAAAAGGAGCCAAGCTGAAACAGAGCCCTCAATTAGCTTTTGGTGCAAAACCAAGACCAGATGGCTGCTTGTTTATCAGAGGTGATGTCAAGGAGAGACTTGGCCACTTTGGATGCAACTTTAAGTGTTGATACCTGGTCTGAAGGCTGCAAGACAAGCCTGTGTCGGTTTTTTCAGTACTGGATTTGGGCATAACGTTGCTCTGAGCTGTGAGATCATGTCACTTCGCAGCGTGCCTCAAGTTGAAACAGTGTTGTCTGCCAGCAGTGCCTCCTTATAATCGTGGTGTTATTTCCTTCCCATACCATCTCATCCATAGATTTGATGTCCTCTACCGCCACTGCATCTTAGACTATAAGTCTCCTGATGTCTGCTCATTAAAGCAAGATGCTAATGTTTTACAGTTTTGCAAAGTTGTCTTTCCTGGCTCTGTGTCGCCCTCCACCTCCAAGCACAGAATGTGATGGAGAAGATGTATCATCCAGTCTCTCTTGGGAGAAGAGAGCATCTTAAGCCATGCTTGCAAAGGTGTCTCATTCTGAGATATAGCTAGATGTTTAGGAGGAATATTATAGCTCTGGGAAATGAGTACAGATTTATTTCTGAAACCAGCAGCAGGGTGGGTGCTGTTTTCATCGAGTTTTAGGTAATGCTTATATGCAAAACCAGCATGCATCAGTGTTTGTGTTTCTGGTGGCTGTGTGTGCTGCTTTAAAATGGTTTGAGGCGGCTGTCAGATACCCATACAGTGCTGTAGTTAAAATGCTTCCTTAGTGTACTCTGAGCACTCGTGTATTTCCTTCATCTCTGAAGCAGGTCTCCTGGGTATGGTCAGAAATGACATGGTCTCAATACTTTCATTGCTTGCCTTACTATTAAAAAGTGCGTGCACTGGAACAAGCTTGCCAGTGTCTCCTTTTCCTTGACCACATAAAGCATCCTTGGATAGTCCATGTGGAAGCCTTGCTGCTCCTTCAAAGCTCCTGGCACAGGCTGGTCAGAAGGTGACACAGAGTGCCCCTCGGGGTGGGTGGACACGCTGTAAGACTGCTTAGCTCATGTGCTGACCATAGTGGGTAACAAGATTCCTGTTCTTTTCTTATTTTTGCTCACTTCTCCTCTTTTACAGAAAGTAACAACCCACCCATTGATAAAATGGGGAGGGGAGAACATTTAAGTCTTGTTTTCTGCCTTGCAGGCATTGGTAGGTGTTGATGTCTGTGTGCTGCCCCTTCACCTGGGCTGAGAGCAAAGCATTTAATCTCTAACTTTTGATAGTAAGATTGGCTGTGGGAAGCACCTGGCACTCTTCACCATGAAGGTTAAATGGTGCTTGAAGTGTTTATGGAGAATGGGGAAGGCTTTATTTTGAAAAGCTGCTGATGTTTTCTGTGGGTCATCCTGCGAAGAACTTAAGAGCTCCTTCTGTACCTCCAAGTTTAATCAATGTTCACACTGTAGTCTCCTAGAACGGTGGAGTTTCTTGCACCAAGGAGAGATGCCATCATAGGAAGCTAGAACACTGATTTTTCTTCTGTTTGTGCCAGTTTCTCAAGACTAAAACAGGTTGTTTTCACAGTGCAGAAGCAGTTGGTTAGGTATGTTTATTCTGTGCAAAGCAGTTCTGGCATTCTTGCGAAGGGACGAGGAGCCAAAAGGATGCCAGCCTTCCTGCTCTATGAATCTGTACTCCAGTAGCTTAAAACACTGAGGTTCTAACATGGTTAGTCACCTGCTCTGGTTGGTCTCAGTCATGTGGGATGTGGACTCTCAGTGTCTCCTGCATGTGGGGAGGTTGGCAGGATATTTGCAGTGTGCACCTGAGGATGTTCTCAAGCTTAACTGCTGTCAGCAGCAACTGACCTTTTACACTCACTAACATCTTGGCAAGTGAGGCTTTTCAGAATCTTATTTATGAAATAACCAGATTTTATGCCTTTCAGATGAGGTTGATTTTTTTTTTTTGTGGTGGTGGTTTGTTTACTTACTTCTCTTTTTCTGTTTCCCTAGTGAAGCTGTGGTCTACCAACTTGGACAACTCAGTAGCAAGCATCGAGGCCAAGGCTAATGTGTGTTGTGTCAAATTCAGCCCCTCTTCTAGGTATCACCTAGCTTTTGGCTGTGCAGGTAGGTAAAACGGGGCAAAGAGATACTGTTTCTTCCTTCCTTTTTTTCTTATTCCCTTCCCAAAGATGTGAGGTTGGGTGTTGTGCCCAGGACTGAGGTGTCTGTGCAGCTAAAATGTGTCTGAGTAAGACTTCAGAAGCGTGTAGTCACCCAGATGTCACGATACCAGAGTATCAACTTCATCCTGCAGTCTGACTTTTTAACTTGAGTGCCTCTCTCAGAGTTAAAAGCTCATGAAAGCAAGTCACCTCGTGTTTGAGATCGCCAAGGCAACCAGGCAAAGCTCAGCCTGAGAGTCTTGTAGCAAAGTTAATGAATTGCTCTAAAAATTCCCAGTATGGCTTTGTAGTATTTAAATTGGTTTTACCTGAGATGCGCTGTAAAACAGCGACTGTGCGTGTTTCCCGTGGCTGCAACTACAAGCCCCGTGGGTGGACTTGTGTTTTCCTAGTTTGGGCAAAGATTGCTGTTAATGTTGATTTTCTTGAAGTAGTTGGTGGGGAAGACACGATGAGCCTTTTATTCACTTAGATTAAGTAGTTTTTGGTGACAATACAGCGATTTGAAAGCAGAGCAGGTATCACTTTGGGAGATTACTGTATCATGCTATGCATGCAGCGTCTGAAACTCGAGGTACCTATAAATGTTTAAGCAACTCTGCATTTTGTTTCTCCTTGGGGATTTTTAATGCACTTATAACTAGATGTTCTGACAACGTTTGCTATCTGTGGACTTCGGAAGATACGTTGATCATTTTTGCAACTGCTAGTTTGCCATTTCATTGGGGTGTTACCATTTTCAGACTGGTTCCAGTTCAGTTGTGACTCTTAGGAAGAAAAAATGAAATTGCATTTTGATACACTGCAAAAAATGGGTTCAAGTTGGAGTGTAAAATGCTGACTTCCTTGAGAGGCAACTTGCTCAAGTTTAATGAATTACATGCAAGAGTAGAAGTGAGTTACAATACCTACCAGCAGCATTTGAATTAAAGGGGTGATCTGTGAAAGGCTCAAGGGAAGAATGAGAGCACCAGCTCCAAATGGGTCAGCCATTGATTAAAATAGATGTGTCAAAGCACCCCAAACCAGAATTCTTCCTGATGAGTCAGTACCTGGGATTTCTTTCCACCTGAAAGGCAGGGAGGTGATGAGGCACAGATAAATCTATGAAGGCTTTCAAAGCTGTAGGGTATATGGGATGGAAGTGGATAGGAATGTCTTTATCTCCACACTCACGTCTAACAGACCATGATGGGCTCATTTTCACCAAGTGTGTTTGGAAAGAAACATTATTGAGCATCAGGAGTTACATGGAGGTTTTAAATGACTGCATGTCCATTTCTGATTTAGAGAATGCTGAGGGGCAAAATGGTATTTGTACGGGGGAAGAAGGCGTAGGAGGGAGAAAAGATAAAATTTAGGTGTTTACATCTGCTTGATGCTTAGTAATTGAGTCTGTAAATAAAAATTAAAATGGATTTTTAACTATGATTGCTAAAACAATTACAGGGAGCAATTCAACTGATGGGAATGACTTCCTACAAAGGAATTCTAATTGATCTTTCAACCATAAATACGAAAAAAATGATGAGAAATTTTAAAGAAATACTGGGAGCTTGAAAGATGTTATTTCTGAACCACCAACCAACCAAACAAACAAAAAAAACTAAAGAAATTAGTGTGTACTTTCATAGTCCATATAGTAAAACAGCCCATGATGCTGTATTGTGTGGGGGTAAAATATTCAGATGTACCTTTGTACTTTCACTCACCTTCAGTTTTAGAAGAACTCCCTTGTACCAAAAAATAGGAAAGAAATCCCTTCGGGGTCTAACAATATGTGACGTGAATTGTATGAGCTGATGTAGCATCTCACTACCCTTTGTTCCATGTGTGACTCTATCTGCAGAGGGACCTCCGCTCCTCAAAACCAGAGGCTTTTCGGGGTGGGAGGTGGTCACTGCAGTGTCTGGTGCTGAGCGTGACGGCCCTTGTCTGGGCGGCGTGGATGCCCCACAGTGTAGGTGGCACAGTCACACAGCTGCAGCGTCAGGGCTCTGCGGGGAATCCTGAACCAGACATCTTGGCTGAACAAAAGCACTTCCACCTGCATCCAGTTTACGCTCTTGATTGTCAAATAAAAGCGCGCTGAAGGACTGTGGTGATGGGGTTTGGAGCAAGGTGAGGCTGCGCAGTAAGCAAAATGGGGGTTACTGCTCCGGCACCTTTGGTGATGTTTTTCTCCTTGATGAGCCCATGTTGACTTTGGTAGACTGCTTGATGCCGTTCATGTCGTACTGCTCCTCCTTTGTGGAGAATGTCCCCTTTCCCCTTGTGCGGAGTTCTTTTGCCCATCCTTGACAGCAGGAGAACACAAAGCGACTGCCTTGAATGATACCTCCTGAAAAAGGCTTGAGGTGGGTTGGAATTGGAATTTGTGTGGATATTTTGGTCAAAACCTCCTGTGCTGCAGTATACCTGTTGGTAAACACAAGTAATGGCAATGGAAGGAGTTGCTGTGGTGCTTTGATTTAGATGTGGCCATGGTCCAAAGGGTTGTTAGGTTCCCGATCTCCATTTGGAACACTCTCCTTTACTAGAAACTACTGGATTGGCTTCAGATGCCGCACAAAATCACGCTTTAGTTGCCACTCTAGAAGCATATCCTGAGATTAGCATCTAATATGGACGATATATATGTTTCTTTTCTTGGCTCTTCACTCTTAAAGCCTTTAGATGACCAAAAGACTATATTGGTAGCTTAAAACAGAACAAATGAGCAATAAACTGGAAATAGAGCCTATACAGGAGAGGAACAACTATTTCGTTTGGGAAATAATTCTCTTGAAATCAGACAGGCACTTCAGGTGAGAGGGAAGCTAGTGTGTCTGGCTACAGCCTGATAAAATCTGTTGCAGTGGAGAGGGTGCATAAAGAAGAAAAGATCTCTTTTGTCTGCTACTTTAATAAAATATTCTATTTGCATGCTTACTGAGTTGAAACATTGGGCCGTATAAACTGTAATCACTGCCGAATACAAAATCAGGTAATTTTGTGGTCTTTTTCCTCTTTTTAAAAGTAGATAGGGTTTCATCCTGAAATTAGCTATATAAATCATGACTGAAGTTATTATTGTTCTGCCTCGGCAATAGCACTGATGCCCTCAACCCATATATTTTTCTAGCAGTACAATTTCCCTGCCTTTTTTTTGTTTCACTTTTTTTTTAAAAAAAAAAAAGGTCAAAAATGCATGCAGTTTGCATCCTGAATGTCCAAGTTGTGCAGTCTGGGTGAGATCAGACTGTCTGCTAACTCTAACTCTAGTGAGCTCAGCGTAGCTATTGATAGGAGCGATGCTTTATTCCCAGCATGCTGTAATGCTGTCAGCAGCTGCCACTGACCTTTTCTTTTCCATATATTATGCAGAGATCATGTCATCGAAAACTTCGATTCCTGAGTTCTTACATTAGATGCATCATCATCACACATGCTTTTTTTTTTTTCCCCCCCTGTAGGACCCACAAATCTAGCAGGTTAGATCATGGGCAATGAGAGGGGTTCCTCAGGGCTGCAGAAATGCAGGACAGGCTCTCCAGGAGCTCCACAAAATAAGTGGAAGCAGTGGGTGAGTACCAGTGGACAGGGGAGAGCAACAGAACAGCTGCAACACAGTCAGAGCTTCAGGTTTTGCTGGGTTAGTTCTAACCTTGATTAGGTCTCTGAAATGCTTCACGGCATTGTCAGAAGCTCCTTGATGATGTGGGTTTGGATAAAGTGACCAGGGAGAACATGGGGCAGTGCTGACTTAGGTTGGTTTTACTATGTCCAGCCTCAGAGCTTGAGACTGCTTGCGTTGGGGATATTGCGTTTCCTCCTGAACACTTCCCATTCTGCTTTTCCATCTCTTCCTTCACACAGACAATTGCATAGCCAAAACTGGATTGGTTTTTTCTGGATCAGTTTGTGCCTTATAGTAGTGCACCAGTGCCAGCCCCAGGCAGGCTTTTGGCAGCCTAAAATGAGATCAGCATTAGATAACAAGAGCAAATCCTCCGTGAACAAAAGGTCTCTTCCCATCAGTGGGGTTTCTGCCGCTTTTTGCCCACTCTGTCGCTCCTCCATATTCCCTTTCTCACTTGTGCAGTGACACTGAGCAAGAATGCAACCCAAGAAGGTGGTTTTCCTGCAAAGATGGTTTTGCATGCTATTTGAAGATCTTCTCTGGGCACTGTCTTGAGCATTACAGAGTGACATCTGACTTCGAATGCTGCTGCCTGCCTTTCATTGTTGAATGGCCACAGAACTAAGGATGCTGATGCATGGCATCCAGCATGCTGAAGGACTCCAGTTGCTATGTCAACAGCTTTGTTTCTGATTGCAGCTGTTTACCCACCCCTTAAGATCTCTGCATCGCTCCGATGCACTTACAGTTCAAGGTCACATGTGGCTTCTTTATCGACATCGTTCAATTTTGCTAATATGCCTGGTGCCCAAGTGGGACCGCTTTGAAGACCATCCTTGTCCAGTGAAATATTGATTTTTCTGCTGCAGTAACTGGAGCAGTGATTTCTCTTTTCCAAACATCTCTCAGTAGAGCTAGCCTTCCATGCTGCCTCAGGTCTGGGTGACTTGCCTGCCTTGTCACTCAGCTCATTAGAATGATGTGATATTAATGGCCAAGAAGGCAGTGTGCCTTTTTGGAAGAGAATTAATGTTTTCCAGCTGAAAGCAAGGTCTTACCTTAATAGATTCTCATAGCTAAGTACTCTGCTCTCTTTGAAAGCCTGCAGTGACTCAGAAAGAATCTGTTTGTGCGAATACATGATATGTTCAGGGTGGAGTTAGGCGACTTCTTTGGGCTTAAGCTACAAGATTACCTTTAGTGTATGAATTGAGCACAGTGTTCAAAGGCACAGGCAAAGGTTAGGCATTTCTTTCAAGCTGGTGGAAGAACTTCACAGCAGTGTTCAAAATTCAGCATTTATGAAATCGGTATGGCCG